ACTTCATAATTTATTTTCCGCAGATTTTTCTGCTAACGTGCGTAGGCATCTTTGTCTGTGGAAGGCATAGAGCATAAAAATCAATAAAAAGTGCTGATTTAAAAGTCCCAACAGTCTCAAAATCATCAATGTCTATTGGTCGTTTGATTGTTCGTCTCAATAACAAATACTGGTGAACGTCTTTTTAGATAATCAAACAATGCCTTATCATACAAATCCGTCTAAGAGCTACATTCGATGGTCAGTTGATGGCAAAGAGGTAGTACTCCTACATTATTTATGTTATGTTCATTTTATATTTTCACAAGAAATATTTTCGTGGTGGTTTTTTGTTTACGAGCTTCCTTGTTTCTACAATTTGGCTGTCTATACTGTTTTATACGCATACCAGTTTCGTGACTGCGAACATGGGTGAGAAAAAACTTCGCAGTCTTAAGGGCATGTCTTGATACAGAACGTATCTCCCGCACAATGTGTTCATGTATTTATCTGTATGTTGTAGGTGCATGCAAATTTAACTTGAAGTATAGATCATCGAGCATGCCATCCCAAACATCAAACAGGCATCGTAACCGAAAGGTTTTCAGTTACTGCAGTCTTGGTGCCATTTTTACAGCTTTGCTCTACACTAGGTACCAGTCGAATGTGGTCGACGTTAGGCTCAAATCTCTCAGAATCATGAATTTGTGTCTGTGGCTATCGCAATTAGTTTGGGAGCGGATTTAATGGAAAAATCCTATTTTAAAAGCTTTTGAGCTAAACTTAGGAAAGCTGCTCTATGCAGGGAAAAACCCAAGCGATGCTTCTTCTAACCTCTCCTTAGCGCTTCCTTAACGTTCTCGTTGTGTATCAAATCTCCCCGAAAATTGAAAATTTGATAATAATCACAGCATGGAATCTTGGAAAAAATGCTAGAGCAACAATTCTTCTTAAAAGAGAAAGATCTCTTCAAACAATTTAGTTTCAATTTGGTTACAGTACGATTTTTTAAATCAAGATCGAAGTTGTACCAAAAACGGCAAAACTTTTGAGATGACTGTGTATAATTTCTTATCTTTTGGTTCTCGTATAACATTAATGTCAACTCTTATTGACAATTACCTTTGGTATAAAGTCGGTAGCCCAAGGAAGTAGTATTTTGTTCACTTTTTTGCCCAAAATCTGAAAATCTTTCCTTTTTTCAAAAAGAAATGACGAAGAGACAGATTCCCACAAACCAACAGTTAGTTCCATTTCAAGCAGTGATACTGTAGTTATAACAAAACATTTCGACAGACATTTTTTTATTTTACACATTTTTTTAAGTGGCTGTGACATCGAGCAGTGAAAAATACACGAAAAGAGACTCACACCTTTTTCGGAAAGCATAATCGAAAGTGGGTGAGCAAGTATAGTTCATTCCATTACATATTTTGCAATTTGCATTTTGCATTTTGTATGAGATGAGAATTTGTTGATTCATTTTTTTTTTCGCTTGGGAAATTCTGGTTTTTTGTTTCAGAACTGTTGCTCTAGACTTTTACATGATTGGGTAGCCTTTAGTCGACAAATTTAGATGCGGACTAAAATTATCAGAATCATCTACGCCAAAGTATCCACTAACCCAACAAACAATTTCTACCTGAACAGTAATTATATGTTTTTAGAAATGTTTCTGCACGGATATTTTGCTTTGGTTTTTTATAACAGTAAGAGAAACCATATAAGTAACAACTTTATTACTCTTGTAGAGAAACAATCTGCGATAACGAGCATGCATCTAATGAAAGCTGGATATAATGAGATTACCCGGTGTGCATGTTGTTGGGAGACAACCCTTAATGCGAAAATAGCAATATTCTATGTTTGATACTAACAATCATCTAATAAAATTTGACATGGAAATGACAACGGCATTGCTACGAATAGCGAAAGCAATACCAGCATAAGCAATTTCGTTCCAATTTCGAGAAGTCTTCGTTCGTCCCAGATTCATTGAAGCTGGTCGATTGTAATAACTGGCACGATGACGCGGAAATATTTATACGGGTTTTATAAAGTGTTGCTAGTAAGCTGCGTCCTTTCCCTAAAGCATAGTGCAATAGCTGCGCATGCGTTGGCGTGCTCGGCGTAACGGACGTCTCCGTCGTTCTAGTTCTTCTTCATCTTGTACCAGGCCAACTGTATCCATATCACGCAGGCCCGCTCTTATTGTCGCACGGCGACACTCGATGGCTCCTTCCTCAATCATAGGTAGCTCTTCTATACGCTCTGGTAATGGAGGACGTTCCTGAAGCCCACTGCTCTGGTATCTCAGATACGCGCAGCCGTTGTCGTCACGCTCTACATGGCCCATGATGAATGGTGTTCCCACAGTAAAAATCTCATCAGCTCGGCGATTTGGTGGAATGTAGCTAGGATGCTTTTCTATCCATTCCGTGCGGTCAAAGGCTGCTACTTCGCGTACAGGACTGTAAGTGCGAGCACGGCCGTTTCGTGATTCGCCATTGCCGTATGTGCCGCCGTTACGATAAAGTGACTGATTGGGAGGATAAATGGGATGATGAACCAAAACACGCTCATCGAAGTTGCTGGATCTGCATGAGTAGCCACGATCAGGGGCAGCAGCAACGGCTGGCTGGTATGGGACTCTTTTAATGGTGCTTGGACGTGGAGGTGAACGAGTTCTCGGGCTTAATGATCTCTCTATGTGAAGTTTTCGCACATAAGTCACTTCTGTGCGTTCCTTTACTGTCGTCCAGGTATGAGGAGAAAGTCGATGTTTAAGACCACGCTCGTTCCTTGTCGACTGATCACGTAGGAAATACCGCTTGTCCGACGACGATTCTCTCGAAAGAGAAGAGAATAGCTCAGAACTAGTGCGGTCATCTGGCTGCCGAGCGCTTATTGAAACAGAAAAGCCGACAGGTTTCTGATCTCGTTCTAAAGTGTCTGCGCTCAAATACACAGGGAGCTCGTCAGTTACTTTGGCCTGCTCATCCTCGTACTTATTTTTTCTCTCCTCACCTATGTCCTGTGATTTTACATTAAAGTGAACATCAAGATCTACTATACCACGGGCATCATCCTTTGGCCGGGCAACTCGAGGCTGAACCTTTTCCAATGAAGATTGACTCAAAAGATTTTCGTAACCGGGATGAATATCACGAGTGAAGGGTTTCACGGGTGTATACGTCTTTTGAAGAAGTCTTTCTTCCATTTCCTTCACTCGACTCTTTTCAGAAATACTGAAATCATCTGAGAGCCCACTGTGATAAACTCTGACCTGCTTCCTGAGAGGTTCACTTCTGATGTCATCGACGCGATTTGTGCTGTCGAGTGGTCCCTCGTAGACTTCTGATACGGGATAGTCAAGATGAGCAGGACCC